TTTAAAAAATTTTGATTTCCAAAAAATATCTAAAGGATCCTATTAAAAAAATTAATTAGTATGGTAAAAATAAATAAATGATAATACTTGGATATTTACAAATAAAAACAAGTTATTTCTTACAATGATGGATTTAATTATGATAACAAAATCGAACCTTATAATGCACAAACAAAATCTTCACTTGTATCAATATCATCTACATCTTCTTCATCACTATCAAGTTCATCAAAATCCATACTCCCTCCGACAAAAAGACGGCTCGTTTTCGAGCCGTCTCCCGTTTTTTTAGCCTCTTCTATTACAGCCAATGCTTCCTCCAGTACTTTGAGAAGCGTATTTATCTCGAATTTCGACACTAGCTAATTCTTCTCCTTCGATTAATTCTGCAGACTTTAGAAACCAAGGGTGGTTTTTAATTTCCGCAACGGTTATTCTCTGCAGAACGATCGGAAACGAAATCAATTTATATATAGCAATGGAATTTAAATTCAAAAGGGATAATTATAATTGAAAAAAAAAAATATATGATTAAAATTCGAATATATCGAACCTTTTCGGGATCAGCAACGAATATTCGAGACATTAAATTTATGCATTCCTTTGATACTCTAACATAGTCTGGGATTGAGTATTGAACAGTGAGTACTCTCTGCAAAAAGAAAAAAAAAATCAAATAAACATAACAAATATGAAATCAATATTTTTTTTAATTGTTAAATTGATATATATATACATATTTATTAAATATATGAATTAAACTATTTAAACTCACATTAATTGTTTTCTTGAAATTATGTGGATCATCAGGATCTTCAAATGGATAAGCACCAACTAACATTACATATAATGTAACCCCAGATGACCAAACATCTGCAATCTGACCAAGAAAAATATATATATTTTTGTATTTATTTATTTTTGTTTTACAAAAATGATTAAGGATATTATTTAAGTATTTATCTAATTAATACCTTGCCATCGTATTCTTTTCTCGAAAAAACCTCCGGTGCAATATATCCGGGAGTTCCAACGGTCGATTTAGGTTGAGAGTGGAATAACGACGACTAAAGTATTCGATCAAAATGAGTCAATAACCGAAATTTCTGAAGCTACAAATTTTTTTGGTTAGGTAAAATTTAACCACCTTAGAATATCCGAAGTCGCATATTTTGAGACGAGGCGGTTGACTTCCGTCCAACAACGTGTTTTCGAGCTTTAAATCACGGTGGCAAATTTGCTTCATTCATCAAATTAAAATAAATAATGTTTCAATTTGTTTTAATATTAATTAGTATTTTGATAATTAGATATATCAGCTTATACTTACCATGGAATGGCAGTAACTCACTCCAGATATCAGCTGTTGAAAGAAAAACCTTGCCTAAAACGAAATTACAAAATCGAAACATATTAGTACATTAATTAAGCAATATTAACATAATTAATCTTCACAATTAGTAGCAAAATTTATTAATAAAAAAAAATTAAAAAAAAAATCGGGACCTCGTCTTCGCTGAATCTCCCGGCATTACAAATTTGTCCGAAAAGCTCTCCTCCTGCAGCATATTCCATCACAATGGCTAGGTGAGTTGGGGTGAGCAACACCTGCAGAAGGGCAAATTAGTCATTTTCATCATCGATTAGTGGTAACCACAAAAGGATTTATAGCTTTATATTATTAATTACCTCCTTAAATCTTATGATATTCGGATGGTTTAAGGATCTGTGGTTCATGATTTCCCTTTGAACAAGTCCATCAATCTACAAAAAAATAATAATAATAATAAATAAAAAATAAAAAAAAATTAAACATCTCAATAAAGACATTAAAATTCAAATATCAACTAAAAAAATAAAAATAAAAATCAGAAATTTAATAACCAAAAAAAAAAGAAAAGAAAAAAGACCTTTTTGCCCCTCTCGATATACTTGACTGCGTATAGGTCACCGGTGGATATATCTCGGACAAGCTTGGCCACACCAAAATTACCAGAACCTATTTTATTTAAAATTTCATACCTTTCCATCTGCATGAAAATAAAAAGAGTCAATAATTTTTTTATTTTTTTATTTTAATTCCTTTTTCTTTTTCTGTATGGAGAGTTTAAATATGATATGAACAAATGTGCCAAGTCTATATATATATATATATATATATATATATATATATATATATAAGAACACATAAGTTAGGTGTACTGCTGCTCAGTGGTTCTGCATTTCTCTGCATAGAATGTGATGGACAAATAATAATAATAATAATAATGCTATTATTCTAGTAATTTTATTTTTCCTTAAAAAAAATAATTTTATTCGAGTTAATTGCACATGTAAAACCCATGTATAATCTCGAGTTGCCAAGAAAAAATATTGTTTTAAAAAAATAGCAAGGACCCCCTATGTTCTATTTTGCTAGTTGTTTTTAACAAGAGGATTTTTCTTAGCAATTAGATATTACACGGGCTGGTCCTTCGTAAAAAGATAATTTTTTATTTTATTTAGATATATTTCAAGAGTTGTTGAAAAGGAAAAAAGAAAAAAAAAAGACTCAAGACTTTGGAAATTTGTGTTTTTAAGTCAATGGAAAATGAGAGGCATATAATAAGATTTGTTTATGTAATATCTAAATTAAATATCGATAGAAACTTATAGCACATTTTTATTGACTTATTTACCGCATAAATCATCAATTGAATTTTATTTTTTTATTTATTGAAGGAACCCGCAACCAACTATATAAGTGTATTGGATAAATTAAATCTACAGTCTCGTATAATAATTTATAAATTATACGAGAGATGTAAACCACATTAGGATGTATGACAAACTCAATCTCACGACTATTGTCAAAGGAATTCAAATCTTACTCCGACAGATAGATCATTTCTTTGGGGACCAAGAAAAAAAAATTAGTTCTAAGTGTATATGACTCGAAAACAGTGAGAAAAATAATGGCCAAAATTTTAGGTGTCACTGATGCAATCCACTCACCATAAGTGATAGAATTTGCATTAAGATAACCATTTATTTGTCACAAGTTGGATTATTAATTAAGAGATTAGTTGGAAATTTTTGAATTAAAAAGTTGTCCCATCACATCAGCAGAAAATTCTAATACATTTACATCTTCATAAAACCTTCCTATTTAAATCAATTTGACAAATAATTCAATTTATATATGCAAAACAAATTTATAGGTTTTCAAGTGATGGTGCTATATCAAATATTAAACGAGTGATATTTTTTTAGCAATTCGATTTAACAGTGCTCGACAAGGTCCCTCAGTCACCTCGAGGTCTATTTAGTTGTGACTCGGGATATTCGCCACTACATGGTACGGCACCTTTCGCTCATCCATTCCGCCCGCCCGTCCAGACTCGACTAGTTGATATATTCAATAGACTTAGTCTAAAACACCCCTCATGTTCAATTGTAATATATATTACTATTTATTTTACATTTGAAAACTAATTGACCAATATTTTCTAGAAAACTAATTCAATATATCGGAATTTGTGAAAAAAATAGTTTTTCCAATTTTCTTTTTGAAATTTTGTTAATATATCTCCTCTATTTCAAATTCTTTTCACAAACAAAATTTCTCTAATTATTTCCAACCCCCTCAAAAGGTGTTAATGTAATAAATTTACAAATTCCAAAGGTGGACGTAGTTATGCAAAAAGAAGGGATTTGTTCGTAAATACAACTTACTTTAGGGGGGGTTTTGTAATTTGCCCAATATTATTTCCCAAAATGAAATGAAAATTTATCCCCGAAACCTAACCAAACATAATATGCGGCCCGGCCCATATGGGGCCCTTCAAGGCCCAATTTCTATATTCCACAAATCCACAATTTGGATCATAAATTTAATTTATATTTATATATATTTAATGATTTATAACAAAAGAAAAGGAGAAAAATGAATAATAAATACGAACCGAATCCAAAAACCACCTCCGCTATTTCTCGCACTCTTTCTCTCTCTTAAAAAGGAAAAAGGAAGAGAGACTCTCCTCCTCCATTCCCTCTCTCTCTCTCTCTCTCCGCCTCTCTCTTTCTCTCTCTAGAAAAAAGGAGAAATCGAAATCACTCCATTCCCCCAAATCTGAAAAATGGCGACCCCCCGTGAGGAGAACGTGTACATGGCGAAGCTCGCCGAGCAGGCGGAGCGCTACGAGGAGATGGTGGAGTTCATGGAGAAGGTCGTCGGCGCCATCGACGGCGACGAGCTCTCCGTCGAGGAGCGAAACCTCCTCTCCGTCGCCTACAAAAATGTCATCGGAGCCAGACGCGCCTCCTGGAGGATCATCTCCTCGATCGAGCAGAAGGAGGAGAGCCGCGGCAACGAGAGCCACGTGTCCTCCATCAAGACCTACAGATCTAAGATCGAGACGGAGCTCTCCGGCATCTGCGACGGCATTCTCAAGCTCCTCGACTCCAAGCTCATCGGATCCGCCGCCGGCGGCGACTCCAAGGTGTTTTACCTGAAGATGAAGGGCGATTACCACCGTTATTTGGCTGAGTTCAAGACCGGCGCTGAGAGGAAGGAGGCCGCCGAGAACACTCTCTCCGCCTACAAGGCTGCTCAGGTTCATTTCTTCTCCGATTCTCCCCTTAATTTTTTTTTCATTCTGTTGGATTTTTTGTTCATATATATAAATGATCTATCTAGGAGAGAATAATGTAGGATTCACAGATCTGGAAAAAAAAATCATGTTTTATCATGTATTTGTGAAATGTGCATACGAATTAGTGAAATTGATTTTGATTTGATTTACTTGGTAGGGAGATTTTGCTATTTTTATTTATTTTATTTCGATTCAATCGAGTTGGGAATGGTACTTTATGTTAGAGATAGCTGGCTAATTTTAGGTTTGGGATATAATCTTATTTGAGTGTATTTTCCGAGATCCCGTGGGTGGGTGGCAGTTTAAAGCAATTGATTTTAGTGTAATTCGTGTTGCTTGATTCTTACCGTGATTTAAGTGTTATATTTGTCGCTGTTAAAGTCTTGTAGATTGGTGAAATGTGCATACGGTCTAGTGAAATAAAATTTTATTTTATTTCGATGCAACCGAAGGAATGTTACTTTAAGTTAGAATAGCTGACTAAATTTTAGGTTTGGGATACAATCATCTTTGCGTGTATTTCCGAGATCCCGCGGGTAGCAATTTAATGCAATTGATTTAGTTGAATTCGGTTGCTCGATTCTTACTCTGATTAATTGTATTCGTAGCTAATTTGGAGTCTTCTTTTTCTTCCTCTTTTTTGTGTACAATTTCGATTACTGTCATCCTTCTAAAGATTTTTATTACGCGCTTGCTGAGTGTATATTCTGCGTGTGTGTGCAGGACATTGCTAATGCTGACCTGGCCCCAACTCATCCAATTCGTCTTGGCCTGGCACTCAATTTCTCAGTCTTTTACTATGAGATCTTGAATTCTCCCGACCGTGCTTGCAATCTTGCCAAACAGGTCCGCTAAAAAATCTGCCTTTTCATTTTTAACTCTATTTATTCAATAAAAAATGAACGTTACAACTCAATATTTATAAAGATATGGATATATTACATGGCTTGTTGTCGAGAGGGGAAAGTTTGACGGGACAATTTTGGAATATTTATATCTCTATTTTCCCGAGTTTAGTAACTTAATACCAAATTCAATAGAAATTCAATGTTTGTAAATGATGGGGTAGCTTTGAAGATGAAGATCTCTATTTTTCTTGATTTTAGTAACTTGACTATATAATATATCAAATTGTGAGTATTTTAGTTTGTTGGAATTTGATCGGCCCGTTTTAATGTGTTTTGTCGTAATTTTCAAGGCTTTTGATGAGGCAATTGCTGAGCTGGACACTCTTGGAGAGGAATCGTACAAGGATAGCACTCTTATCATGCAGCTTCTCCGTGACAACCTCACCTTGTGGACCTCCGATATGCAGGTACGTTTTCTTTCTTGTGTGATTTATTTAATATTTTTTTAATTATTATTATTTATTATTTTAATTGTTCTTATTCAGGATGATAATTCGGAGGAAATCAAAGAAGCAGCCAAGCCGGATAACGAGTAGTAACATTTTCGTGTTTTAGGGTTTGGTTGTTTTGCTTTTACTCTATCTCTACAATATTATTTACTTTTAAGTCAAGAATTTGCTGCTTCCTTAGCATGTAGTTACGATTTTTAGTCTATCTACTTATTTGGTGACCTCCGATTTTAGATGTCTTTTTATCTCCCCCATCTCTTTTCCGATTTCCCTTGAGACTGATTGATGATTATGTGTTAAAGTTTCGGTTTATAATTGATATTTATTTTTTATCTTCGCAATCAGTATTTTTTACCTTTGAATTTGTTTTTCGTGTTCCCTCGTGAATTCTGAATTTGAAATTCAAATGATTTCATCATAACACAGAAGATAGATTCTTTTACTTTATTGAACTTTAAAAACTTCCTTTATTTCTGAAGATTTTTTCAAGTCTCAGCTTTTCATGGACAGTGTTTTTGAGAGAGCTTACATTTAAATTCAGGGAATGCTGTAAAACCTTGATAAATTAATAATTTGGTTTAAATAATATTTTTTTCGAATTCTGAATTGATGAAAATGTATTAATTTTTTTGTTTGATAATTTAATTTTAATGTTAAATTAATAATATTTTATTAGTCCTGAATTAATTTATAGATATAATCTGAAAGCAAAAGGCAATTCAATTATTTTATTGAAAAAGTCTTTTTACTATTCTAATTCTCACAAATTGTCCTTATCCTATTGGATGAATTGGAGTCAAAGGGTCAACTAATTTAGTAGAATAGTCTATAGAAAATTTTAACTAGAGTTGTGATTGGATTGTTGGTTTTATCCAACAACAAACATATTAGCAATCTATGTTTCTAGTCGAAAATTTTAACCAATCCATCTATGATAAATCGGTTGCTAGTTTCTAATGTCATTAAATGTCGATAGAAAGTTGACGTGCAGTTTCTACTCGTTTCTTAAGTGCAAGCCTCAAACAAACACAACACAATACTCAACCAATTTCCTCTTGCTCTCGTCTTTTTATTCCAAAAATCGATTTTTTTTAAGTGAAGTAGGTGACAGACCGCCAGATATTCCAACACATAATAAACCATAAATGTCATTAATAGCAACATAAATATATCATTGAGGATATAATTGTAAATAAACACTTGCTTCAAAAATTATCCAAAAAAAACAAATTATTTTTATTTCACAATACAAAATACTAATGCTTTTATATACAATAACAGCCAAACCAGGCATGGGGATTATATCACCAACCCCTGTGGTTTCTTCATCACACCAAACTACTTAAAAAAAAAAAAAAATGCTACAACATTTGCAAACTGGACAAAACTCTTAGGATCTTCCTTTATTATGTCGTATATTTGTCCGAACGAAAATTGTAATTTTTCGGCTCGTAATAGAACCTTTCGGTCCACATCCGTATATTATATCGACATTTTTCGTGTGTTTTCGTATTATCTCGTTTCGATCATTTCTGATCTTTCTGACCCTCGACCTGAAAAACCAAAAAAAGGAACAATAAATCGAAAATTTAGATTTAAAACGAACTTATCCGAAATTCCCAAAATACTTGCAAGAAGATTGAAATAATAATAATAATAATAAAAAAAAGGTATACCGTTGCAACTGGAGAAGGTTCCTTTGGAACCGGAGAAGCTTCCTTTGTTGCCGAAGAAGGTTCCTTAGCAACCGAAGAAGGTTCCTTCTTGTGAAAGCTCCTCCTTATAGTAAGAAGATCCCCCACTCTTTGAAACACCGTTTTCGACTTCCTATGCGACGATTGCTTATTATCGTTATCCGAGTCGTCGTGCATATCGAAATCCTCCAAAGTCGGTGTCCCGGGATCTTCCGTGAACGCGGTCGAGTGCCTTCTATGGCCACCCGAGTACACCGATTTCTTCGGCGTATGTGGCTCCGATTTCGGAGTCTCCGCGTTCGCATCGAAAATCGAACCCTTCAGTGCCTCCGCCTTAACCGGATCTTCGTCCAATAGCCTCTCCCGCGGGTCTTCCGGTTCGTTCATGAACTTCAAATCCTCGAGGTTGAAGCTAAAAGTCTTGGCCATCACACTCTTGTCATTATGACCGTTTTGCCCCTCGTGATCGTCGTCGCTTTCGTCCTCGTCCTCATCGTCGTCGAAATCGTCGGGGGACCTTAGTAGAACCCCTTCTTCGGGTTTGAACTCCGTCGAAGCAGTCGAGAGCAGACGCTTCAACTGCTTGACGTTCTCATTGGCCGCGGCCTCGCTTATCCGCAGGCGCTCGTTTTCTCGCGTCAGGAAATGCAGCGCCTCCTCCTTCTCGACGAGGGAGTCCTTCAGCAAGGAGTTCTCGTCGCGTGCGATCCCGGCGGCAGCCTTGGCGGCGTTGGCCTCGTTGACCGCTTGTTTGAGGATGTCGCGCAACTTGTAGGTCTCCTCTCGGGCGGCGCGCGTCATATTCTCGGCCGATTTCAAAGATTCCGATAGCTTGTTGCTCTCGTGTTGCGCGATGGCCTTTTCCTCTTCGGCGCGTTTTATGCAACCGACGAATCCCATTTCCTTGCCGTTCCAAGCTAATAGGGTTTCCTCCGCCTCGACTCTAAGCCGATCGGCGGTGTTTTTGTAGAGCTCCGTTTCTTGTTTGGATTCTTGCAATAAATTCGAGTATCTTTCTTCGGTGCTTCTCACCATTTCTTTCAATTGCTCACCTTCTCCTTTTACGAGCTCGAGTTCGGTTTGCACGGCCATTAGTTGCTCCTTCGCTTGTTTCGCCTCCGTGGCGACTTCTTTTAATGCTAGTGCTAGATCGTCCATTGCTTTCGTGCTCTTTTCTTCTGCTTCGATAGCTAACTTGAGCTCGTTCTTGAGCATTTCTTTTTCTTTAACCGCAATCTTTTCGCGTTCTTGCGCATGCGATAGCTCGGATTTGAGAGCTTTAATAGTCTCTTCCTTTTCGCTATAATCGCCGGGGGCACTATCGTCCTTCGTCATCTCACGAGTGTTTTGCTTGTATAGCTCCTCCAATGAGTCGATTTTTTCGTGGAGCGAAGTGGTTTCGATTTTCGATTCCTCGAGCTCGAATATCATCGACTCGAGGCGTTTGGTTTGGAGAACCAACTTATCCGCCATTCTCGATCCCGATTTCTTCTCCCTCTCGACTTCGGATTCCAATTCTTGAATCCGTTTCTTGTTCTCGGATAGTAATATCATTGTGTCCCTTTTCAATTTCTCCAAAGATTCGCTTTTTTCGGACTCTAAGGAACCGATCTTTTCGTCCCTTGTTCTCAATTCGTCGCGCAAACTTTCAAGCGTTTGCTTCGAGTTTTCGAGATCGGTGATCAGTACTTTGGCCTTGTTGGGGGATAATGACTCATTTGCCCTTGTGGTTGCATCTTGGGCTGCTTCTTTTGCCTCTTTGAGCTGATCAAGAGCTCTGTATTTTTCCATTTCAATTACATTTAGCTTTTCTTTAGCCATTCTTAACTCTTCTTCCATCTCCCCCATTTGTAGCTGCATTGACATTATTCTATCCACTTGATTCTACATCAAAATTAAATTTAAATAATTAAAAAAAATTAAATTTTGGTAGTGAAAATTTCAGTTTTCACCCCTCTCGTTTGCACAAATTACACATTTGGTCCCATGTTCACAAAAACACATATTTGGTCCCAAATTCAATACTTTTAGTCATTTCTGTCAATTTCCCGTTAAAACTAGCAGAATCGCATGTGCCCGTCACTGCCTCAACTAACGGACTAACGGTGAATTGACGGAAATGACTAAAAGTGTTAAATTATTGGAACATGATGGACTAAATATGTTTTTTGTGAATATGATGGACCAAATATGAAACAATGCAAACTTGAGGGGTGAAAACTGTAAATTTTCCCCGAAAAATCCGTCAAAATTTGAAGCAAAAATTGCACAAAATCAACAAAAAAAACAAGAAAAAAATGAAATACCTGGGAAAAATTAGAAATCTTGGAGGGCTTTTTGTCCAAAGATTTGAGGGCATTTGAGTCAATTTGCGTGCCTATAGAATCACCCCTGCAAAGCTTTGATGCAGATAGGGTTCTTGAAAATACTGATGAATAATGATTCTTCTGTACAACATCAACCGACCCTGATCTGTATATACAAATCCCACAAAAAAAAAAAAATTAAAAAAAAAAAGAAATTCGGACAAAAATTCCGATGAAAAACTAAAAAAAACTAAAAATAAAAATCGAGTCTTTAATATGATATTATGCTAAAAATGAAAATTCAAGAGAGAGAAATGGGAGAGAAGGGACAAAAGGTTTAGCATAGAAGAGTCCGATAAAACCTCGTCAACACACACAGAAACGTGTACCATGAAATCTTTTGGATGGTCCAGAAAAAAACAAAATTAATTCAAATTTAATGGAGCGTACAAGAAATAATGCGGCTGGTACTACCTTGATTTGGAACGTAACATATTTGGTGGCTTGTGATTTTTCCCCCCAGTGTGTGTTTGTGCGTGTTCTTATTTTTTTGGAACAATTTTTTTTTTTTGACGGAGTCCGAGGTTGACGGGGAAGTAGTTGTAAGGAAATCTGCTGTAACGGCTGAATAAAAGGGGAGAGAGAAAGATTGTGTGAAGTTAGAGAGAGAGAGAGAGAGAGAGAGAGAGAGAGAGAGAGAGAGAGATTGACGTAGGTATATAGTAAGAAATAGTATTATCAAATATGGGGTGATTTTGTGTGAAATGGTTGCATGAATCTGATAACTTATTATGTTACCCAAATTAAAATAATATAGGTAAATTACAACTTACCCCTGAGCTGTGGTTAAATTAAGAAAAAATCTCTTATGTTTGGGTAATTATAATTACTCCCTCAACTATAAATTTTCTTACACGTCCATCCTTGCGGTGTCAAATTTAGTGGAATCTTAGATTATATGAAAATTTTGTACCCGTTTTATCTCATTCGAGCTCCACGTTTTGAAGTAAGATGATCATAAATGTGTTTTTTGGCTCGTATATATCAAATTGTGGTGAATAAGAAATTGCATTTTTGCACAAACGAATACAAACTAGAGAACATTCCACGGAATCTAAAAGATTTTGTTGAATTTGACACCATAAGGGTGGACGTGCAAGAAGATTCATAATTGAGCGGTATATATAATTATCCAAACACGAGGGATGTTTTCGTAATTTGACCATACTTGAAGGGTTGGTTGTAATTTACCCAATAAAATAAAATAGAAATGGAATAGAATTGAATTGTTTAATTTGGAAAATTCTTGGAAGTTTGACATTGTCTTGTGGCCGGCAAACATGACATAGGGAATTGTAAGAAATAACTATTATATATTTATTTATTTTGTTATTATGATTTGGTTCAACGAGGAATTGGAGTTTCAAGATTGGATCTCTCATTTTGGAGATTTTGACTTTGGACTAATAGCTTTTGTTACACTTAATTCCATCTTGCACCTTTGAAACTTACCAATTTGACACTTTGCAATCTTAAAATTATTTTATTGCACTTTGCACCCTTAAAGCATGTTTAATCGTACAAAGTGCACCATAGTCTATTTTTCGGCCATAATTTTTGTCGTCGACATATTTATTATCGTTAACATGGTCATTTTTGTCTATTCAATAGTTTTTTTATATCGGGGTGTAGTATATCGGGGTGTAAAGTGCAAATATATTTTCGAGCAAAAATGACTTTGTTGACAATCAGAAAATAGGTCAACGATGGAAATTTTGGTCGGAAAATAAAGCAGGGTGCAATTTGAACGATCAAACATATTTTGAGGGTGTAAAGTACCATAAATCACTTCAATGGGTGCAAAATGCAAAATTGCTACATTTCGAGGGTGTAAAGTAAAATTAAGCCGCTTTTGTTATTATAAGAATTGGATTAAAATCTATGAAGCAACAAATATGTATCTTATATTAGTTCACAAGTTATTAGTTTTTTCAGCTAAAATTTAATATAATATCTCGAGGTTTTTCAACTGAGTCTGTTAGCCAATCTACTAGCCCACTACACAGCGAGACAATAAGGGACCTACCACATTGCGCATCCCAAAAGTCCATAGAAGATATTGATGTCAAGTAGTAGGGGCTCGCTTATAAGCTTCGGCCGCACATTTTTCCGATGTGGGATGGGAGTGTTACAAACTCTTGTAGCCCATAACATAAACCAATGTACGATGCAGTATTACAACCTCTTGCAGGCCCCGGAATAAACCAATGTACAATCCCCGTTGATAGGGCCCATAACAAAGATGAGCATGTTCGAGTCGACTAACCGTTGTTTCGGATCAGCTTTGATACCATTTGTACGTCTCGAGCTTTTTCAACCCAGTCTGTTAGCCAATCTACCGGTCCACTAGACACTGGGGCACAACGGGCCTACCACAAGCCCACTCCAAAAGTCCATAGAAGGTATTGGTGTCAATAGTGGTAGGGACTCCCTTATAGGCTCACACATAAACGGTCTTCTTTCTTAATATATATTTGACTATGAGTGCACAAATTCGACCCTTCTAGAGATAGAGAGCTCATATTGCATCGTTGATCATCTCTGTAAGAATTTTGTGCATACACACTAGTCTTCCTTTGTAGAATTTGTGGGAAATCAATATAAAAGGTTGGGCATTGCCCGTACGTAAACGTGTTTTCGTGTTTGTTTCTGTTGCATACTCTCTAAAAATTCATATTTGGCTTGCTAAAGTTTTGTTCTTGTGCGTTTGTACGAATAAGTTCGAACGAAAGTTGACTAATTTTGTATAAAAACCAGACTGCACGAAGTTGAAAATTTCTTACGCAAAGAAACCTGATAAAATCAACCATGGAGTTGGGGAAAATTAGGTTACAATTACTCTTTGTACATAAAATCAAAGGAGGCAGTCCACATAAACTTTGCTTATGTGTAACCACCACTAAGTCCTACGAGACATTACATTAAAATCAACCTTATTAAATGTCACGATTTAATTGGTGGCTATCAAATTATATTGATTGTTCATTAAAAAAGTTTATCTTACTGTATATCCACATTTAAAAAAGTGTTTTTTTTCTCTTGAAAGAAAGATGTCAACTGAATTTCAACTTTATCAAAACGAATGTTTTGTAATTTTCATTGAAATCGAATGATTTTCTTTCTATATTAAATATATTCAAAAATAATATTACGTGACTGCAATTATATTTGTCTAGTGAAGTTTATATCTCACGATGCAACTTATAAACTATAACACGAAACCGAGGCTCATAGATAAACATCATGTGACTGCAATTATTTTATCTTACATATTTTAGTTATAAACATTAGGGTAAATTATGAAATCTTAATGGCCTTTTTGTAATTATTTTCGAAATTTTTTTTCTCTACTAATTTTTAGCCATTTTTTTTATAATTATTCCCCAATGAAATGTTTGACTCTATATTTTTCATAACAACAGACGAATTCGTTCTCTCTTATTAATAGATTCACTAATGTAAAATCTATTATAAGAATAGTAAAAGAAGCTATCACATATTGATATAATTTTTTCTAAAATTAGAGAAATTTATTTTTTGAATTTTTAATATTACTGCTCATATTTATATTATACATTAATAATAAAAAATAAACAAAAATCATGAACTCTTGAATTATCACAAAGTAAACACAATAAAATTGTTATTTTCATATATTTAAATAATATCTTCTTTTTTTTTAAACTTTAATCTAGTTATATTTAAAAAATAATAAAAATTGTAGTGCAATTGTGCAAGTCACTAAGGTGGTGTTTGCAAATGCTTTTTGAAAGTGATTATGCGGTTTTTTTTGCTCATAATCTGTTTTTAGGTGTTTGCAAAATCAACTTTTGCTTTTGCTTCTCTTAAAATAATCTACTTTAAGCTATTTTTTTAAAAGCACTCATAATCCTGCTTTTTCAATTTTAGTTCATTTTCCGAAATATTTGCAAACACCCCCAACTTTTAGAAATAAGCACTTAAAACTAACTTAAATCACAATCACTAACTTCTGCTTTTAAATAATCATTTGCAAACACTACCTAAAACCAATATAGTAACAAAGAAACGGGCCCACTTATGAAATGTTTAAGAGACGAGCCCGAACCCAAAGCCCATTAATCCGCCATTAATGTATTTTTATTTTTTTCTTTTCAAAGTTGAGCTGAGGTGCGAACGCACTTTCTTCACATTTTAGCAATGGAAAATTGACTGGGGGTTTCTTCAATATCAATCCACCCCTCCTGAAAACACACAATTCATTCACAGAATAAATAAATAATAAAACGAGAAATCCTCCAATTCGTTTGTATATTCCGATTTTCGATCGATTTTTTTGTTTTTTCGTTTTCAGAGATTTTTTTGGGGAATTTTTGAAAGATGTGGGTATTTTATTTGATCTCGCTGCCATTAACCCTAGGCATGGTTATTTTGACTCTGAAATACTTCTCCGGCCCAGACGTACCGCGCTATGTATTTTTCACGGTGGGGTACACTTGGTTCTGCTCGATTTCGATCATCATCCTCGTGCCTGCCGACATTTGGACGGTGAGTTCCAGCTCATTCCGTTCAGTTTTTTCAATTGATTTTCGCGGCGGAATTTGGTGGGAGTTTTTTGTGTTGCATGTGGGCGAATTGTTAACCTAATGCTTCTTAATTAAGTTTTGAAATGGGGTTGTGCTTGATTTTTAGGAATTAGGATGCTAGGCTATGTTCTTGGTGTTGTTCCCAAATAATGTGAATTAGCTGCTATTCCGAGTTAGAATTTACTGTAGTGCATTTGATCGGATCCGTATCTGAATTTTTTCTGCTCGAATTTTGATTTGTGTGTTCTTTTCGGTTGGACAGTGTATCCTAGTTTAATTGTTAATTGGGTTTTCAGTGAATAAGTTGTTGTTTTGTTATCTATAATTGGCTTCGATTATATTAGCTACTATAATTTAAGTGAAGGAATTAGGGACTGTAGTTAGTGGATTGATGGTTTGATGTAGAGAACTTTTTTGTTAACTGGGACACTGTAAGGTTGGATTCTTTCCTTTTTATCTCGCGAACTTCGGAATATGATTAAGTTATAGGGCTTCAAACCTATTAAATTTTGGGACAAACTGATTTTTCATGCGCTTATGCTTTCTAATTGTACCGTGCCTTAAACTAGATAAAATACATAGATGATATGCTCCAAATATGACACACTTAAGAACCCTGAATCAAAAGATTTTTACCATTGAGTCACCCACAAACCAATTTGGAATCCACTAGATCAATTGACTAACCACGCCTTGAATGAGATGCAAAACGCTGGAGTTAAACTATGTGAAAACCTGTTTTTTTGATATTTAAAAAAAAAAAAATCTCTCGTTGTTTTCGCCGCAGCAGTCATAGTTCTGGTGGCATTTTAGTGTATTTCATTGGCCTAGCATGAGATGAGAATGGGAGAAGTTTTCTGCATAATGTTTAACACCTTTAGCATAATCAGCTGTGCTTGAAAATGGTTGTAAGTATTCATATTTGGTTATGTTTGGGCTGGTCTAGCTAATGGCTTAATCATGAACATGGTATTACTTGAATTAAGATCCAGTTGATCCTGGTGAGAGAGTAATGGATCAAGTCCGGACAGTATTTAGAACCAAGCTATGATTCAAATAAGCCTCATATTTCTTTCCTCACTCTCCCTTTTCACAAAGGCATCACATCCTTTGCTATAAAATGTCAATTGCAGTAGAAATCTCTCCGTATTTTGATTTAATTGAAATACTTGAGCAGATTTTATCTTCCTTATTTCATGCAGACTATAATTGGTCATGGTAATGGAGGCATCTCTTTCTTTTGGAGCTGGTCATACTGGAGTACCTTTCTGCTCACATGGTATGATTTTTTTGAAACTGGTTTGTAAGTTTTTATTTACCTTTCTGATGCTTTCTTATAGGAGCTTTTTATTCACCTTTTCTTTTTAATTGCTTAATAGATATGTTATTATCAAAATTTCAGATAATCATTCTTTGTTTTCTCGGTGAGCAGGCTTGTTGTGCCCCTTATACAGGGTTATGAAGATGCTGGGGACTTTACTATGATAGAAAGATTGAAGACTAGCATACATGTAAATCTAGTCTTCTATTTAATTGTGGGGTCTATTGGTCTTTTGGGACTTATTCTACTGATCACTATGGACAAAGATAGGTTCGTTTCTTCATCATTTGATACCAATTTCCTTCGTTCAATGCATTTTTTACTTCATTACTTAGGAACGGTCAGCCTCAGGCTCTCAGCATGCTCTTTGATCTAATTAATGGAAATGATAATGCTTGTTTTAGTTGGATGAATATGCCTTGTGTTTTAGTAGTTTCCGTATGTATGGTATATCATTGCCAGTCCATTTTTTGGCATACATGAGGTCATAAATCAATTAGGTTGATAAGACGGATAGCAGATTCTTTGACAATCATAAATTATAGCTGATCGTTTCAATATGCATGGGTTGTACGATTGACGGCTGAGCTGAAAATGTTGTCTTGTTTCATGAGATGGATTTGCACACACACACTGATACACGGATATGGTTATAATATGATATAAACAGGCAATAAAGTCAGTACGAAAAACAAAGGATATGATACTTATACTGCTCGTACATTGATAAAAATAAATAATCTATTTAGATTAAGACAAATAAAGATACAGTATAAATATAAAATTTTCAGTAAATCCGAATTATGTTATTGCTGCTTTTATGTTTTTGTACTGCACAATCTGTGCTTTATTAGCAATAAATATGCCTAATATATATGTCTCCAAAGTGTCAAATATATTTTAAATTATTTTTCATTTAATCTCATAGACACATTTTTAAATATAGGATAGATGTCCGAGCAGTATCCATGAGTAGCATATCATATCCAAATAATCTGTACGAGTAGAACTACTTATTAGAAGTGTTTGAACTCTGTCATCATCGGTTGGTGTATATTTTATTCTTTAATGTTTGCAAGTGCATTTAGTGTTGCATCTTTTCCAACAGTTCTTTTGGAAAAGTTGGTATTAAAGTTAGAACACATGAGGGAATCAGCAAAAGTTAATTTTATTGGCCTAATCAAGCATTTACTGAACAAGAAGTTGGAAGATTCATGAAGCATATATGTTTGAATGATAGATCATCGAGATAGGGACTTGCTACATTATACACCTGGTTCTCTATGCGTGTATCTGTAATATCATCGAGATAGGGACTTGCTACATTATACACCTGGTTCTCTATGCGTGTATCTGTAATCAAATATTTTTTTCTTGACAACTGCCAGTTTGTGTATCACGATTTAGTTAGCATGGATCTTAGGAAAGCATATAGCTTCACTGATTTTCTGAACATGACTTGCTGGTACCTAGTTCATTTCTCTGATTTCTTCACTGACAGGTTCGGTAGTAGAGGTATATTAGGCTGGGCAATGGCTTGTTCAAATACATTTGGACTCGTAACTGGTGCATTTCTTCTTGGTTTCGGTTTGAGTGAGATTCCAAAAAACATTTGGAAAAATGCTGACTGGACCAATCGCCACAAGGTTCTCTCGCACAAGATAGCAAAAATAGCTTTGAAACTTGACGATGCTCACCAAGAGTTATCAAATGCGATTGTGGTTAGTGTTTCTGAAGACTTGCATATAATTTGATCTAAAGTTCTGCATGTGCATTTTTCTTGCAAGAACATATACTCTTCCTTCTGTTCTTAACTAGAGAGCTCAATGTACTTGAAACCTGGTATTCAAGTTATATCTATCAGTTGATTGAATTGCCTCAAACTCCACATGAATTTTCTTCATTTAGCATGTGATGAACATAAAGCTGTATTTTGTACTGGAACCATGCTATGATTCTTTTTTTTACTTCAGATATGCTTGTTTGAAGCACTTACATGCATTTAGGCCATTGTCTTCGTTACTGAGTGAATTTTGTGTTATATTTCTTTATTTGGGTTAGAACATCAGATTACGTGAATAATACTACGAGAGATGGAAAATATACGACTTGAAATATCTGGGACTTGGTCATATATGAGGCCCACTGGTGAATCCAGGATTTTGGGGCCGGACAAATCACCTAGATAGCTGCTCTTATTTTTAATTTGAGTCTTCATACACTTGATTATATTCGAGTACGTCATACATGTATGTATCTGTTATCTAATTTCTAATTTTCTCTTTTCTTTCTGACTTTTGTTTTTCAATTGGAATTAATAGGTTGCTCAGGCTACATCAAAACAGATGTCCAAGCGCGATCCACTAAGACCTTATATGGATGTCATTGACAATATGTTAGTGCACATGGTACTTTCTTTTCTTGTACAGCCTCACAGTGAATTTATTTTTGGTTATTATGTATTATATGAGCCAGTCTGATTTTGCTATCTTCAGTTTAAAGTAGATCCTTCCTTCAAGCCACAAGGAGGTCGGCTGGGGGAAAATGACATGGACTACGATACAGACGAGAAATCAATGGCAACACTAAGGCGTCACCTTCGTGGAGCTCGAGAGGAGTACTATCGATGCAAAAGGTGTAGTTATTAATTGCAGGCTGATATATAAATTAGTTTTACAAGCTTATGTTCTTTAGGATGCTCGATTTATTGTTGTGTGTTTTGATTAATTGTTTAATTGTTTTTCATTATTCTATTCTTGTCCAGGAAAATTGTAGTATTCATCCCTCAAGTTTCCACTGATTAGACATTTAGTCCCTCATGTTCACAAAAAGCACGTTAGTCCCTCATGCTTCAATAATGTAACACTTTTGGTCATTTCTGTCAATTTACCGTTAGTTCGTAGCACACCTTGATTCCGTTAGTTCTAACGGAAAATTGACGGGAATGACTAAAATTGTTGAATTTTTCAAATATGAGGGAACAAATGTGTTTTTTGTGGATATGAGGGACCAAATGTGAAACTGGTGCAAACTTGAGGGATGAAGAACTGTATTTTACCCATTCTTGTCCCTACTCCATACTCAAGTGCCGCAATGCACGTGATGTCAATTGTAGCTTAGCTTTGAAATTAACTTGCTATCTAACATATTCTAGGTTCTTTATGTTGCTTGTTTTGCAGTGAGTATCTGACATATGTCACGGAGGCTATTGAATTAGAAGATACAATAAAGAATTATGAAAGACGGAGTATGACTGGATGGTTTGCACCTTCCTCTTCCTATTTTTAGACTAATGCTCAAAATTTCCTCAACTAAAAGTTCCATTTAAACAAGTATATTATGTGTCTCAACTTTCACCTTATTGATGTCTACCTTGAAGGCTTGAACATTAGTTATTAAGTAAGAAATCACTGCAAAAATACCCAGTATTAATAAAATTGTGAATTTTATAAAGGCATTACACTAAGTCGTATTTTGGAGCAATAGCATTTACCCAGCAATATGACAACTCTATTTCTGATGACGTCAACCATGCCATTGTCAAAGTCTACATACGAATACTGTATTGGACATAAAGTAATGTTTGTGTTTAAGAGTTTAACTGGTGTTATTAATATTACAAAAATTATCTTTTGCTTCTGCTATTTAAAAATTATGTTTAGGGTGACGACTAAGTTGTACCTCGTGCTAACTTTTTGTCTATAGGCATAGCTCTAGGCTAACTGTATGTTTTGCTTTATATTGTAACACAGGAAGTATATCTCAAGCTTCAGACCTGAACGCTCCGGTACATTAGGATCATTCCTCGATATGGCAGGTAATAATTTGTTATTTCGTCACAGCTCACAAGCATTTGAGGTGAATATTGACAAATCATCTTTTTTTTTTTTTCCGAACTAAAGCAAAATAAAATGGAGTAGATTATTCATGATCCGCAAATTTGACCTCGATTTGACCATTAGTTCTTTTATTAAGAAATATAATGCATGAGATCTCCTTTTTGATGGGTCAATGGTACTTTATTCATCAAAACTGTTAAAGCTGCTCCAAGAACTTGTTATTTTTAATTATCTGGATTTGATTTATTTGTGATCCTACATAGTAATTATTCTGCAGCATATTACATTTTTATGTGTTCTTACCATCACCTTGTTCATAGCAATCTTCAATATAAGCATAATCTCTTTAGGAATTGATTATTTTATTTTTTTGCTCCTCAGAATTAGTATGGCGTTGTATCTTGCAAAAGCAATTGGAAAAAATATTCGCTGTCATTCTTGGTTGCATGTCTGTTGCAATTCTCCTGGCTGAGGCTACTTTGCTAACTAATGGAGTTGATTTATCTCTATTTTCTATCCTCGTAAAATCTGTAGGGAATGAAGAGGTTCTGGTGCAGGTATATATTCAGATTACTTCACCTAGGTTCTCTTAAACAACAAGGCATTTTAATATTTGTTCAAAATTGTTCAAACACATTGTTAGCATTATACGACAGCTTAATAATTTATCATTTAATATGGCATGTCAAGATTTTATTTAATGCAAATCATCTAACATGTCAATCCGAGTCTAAATTTACAATTTAATATTTGATTCATGGATCATAGGTGCATTATATTTTCTTTTAACCAGTCTATGAAAGTTCCGGTGCTGATTAACTGGTTTCTTTCTTATCACAAGAAAAATTGCATGAGATGACCAGCTCAAGTGCAAAAGATATTAAAAATGTTTGTACCGAAAGAATATGTTTTAAAAAGCTCCACAACTTATTAACGCCGCATTTCATCATTTACCTATACGTAATTTTATTTTATGTGGTCAAATTCTCCATATTTCAGTGTTTGTGATTTTTAAACTTGTGGAGTATGATGTAACTACTCCTGCTGTTGTTTTCTTCTTCCCCGTTTCTCTTTCCTGGCATGATTTTCTGCGATCGTCTTTTTCCTATATAGCTGCCCATCTATCGTATTCCAAGATTTTAGAACTTGGTTCTCTGCAACTTACATTTAGTTATATATGTATACTTACTTCTTTGCTTATGCTGCCAGATCTTTGCATTTGTTCCTCTAATGTTCATGTGCGTTTGCACGTATTACTCACTGTTCAAAGTTGGAAGGCTAATGTTCTACTCACTGACACCAAGGCAGACAAGTGCTGTCAGCTTGCTAATGATATGCTCGTAAGTTTTTATCTTGGTTTCTATTGCCTAGTTCAGATATATATTTTTATATTATATGTAGTTATAGGTTCTTCCTTGATCTTCCTGTCAGGATGGTTGCTCGTTATGCTCCTCCAATTTCGTATAATTTTCTCAATCTCATTAGTCTTGGCAAGGGCAAGGAAACCATTTTTGAGCAGGTGAGCTTTCTATTACATATTTAGCGTATTTCTGTAAATATTAGTTTTTTTTTTTCTTCTTTTTTTCCCATTTAGAGCGTATTAGTTGGGGCCTGTGTTATGTCTCGGAAAGTTTAATTAACTATTTTTATATCTGGTGATGTATGTTTTTCTGTGCATGGGAAACATTGATAAAGCTGTACCTTTCTTTGTGGGATGGATTTAACAGTATTTACCCCCTTATCATGGTCATCTACACTATCTTGGTAGCAAGCAACTTTTTCGACAGGGTCATCAGTTTCTTTGGCAATTGGAAGTTTTTCAGATTTCAGACAGATACAGATGACATGGATGGGTTTGATCCGTCTGGATTGCTTATACTTCAGAAAGGTAAACGACTTGTCTGCATTCTTACGTCAAAACACTTCACACTTCTTATTACACCACGTTCTGGTCAATTGTGCATTTTATTCCAATGTAATAAGCGAGAGTAGTGTTATATTATGCTGAAGTTGTGTACTTTTACAGAGAGAACCTGGCTTGAACAAGGCCGCAAAGTTGGCGAACATGTCATTCCGTTGGCTAGAATTTTCAATGGTGTGAACTTGGATCTCGAGTCTGGCATCAATAACAATGTATGTGATCTTTACCCTTTCGTGAGGATCTTTTGCCTTGTTCTTTTCAGTGGAAACTTTACTATATTTTTCTAGACTTTTAATTATTGATAGATGGGTATTCGTAATTTACCTGTTTTTTGGAAATCTTCATGTCGGGATAGATAGCTATTAATCTCTTCTAGAAAGCTATTTGTCTTCAGTATTGTGCTGATTTTGTGAAATAAACGGTGAATAATTACAGGACAAACCAGTCGAAATGAAAATTAAATCCGATTTAAGAAAGGAGGATATAAAGGGAAGTTCATCCTCAAAGCCATCTTCAAAAGACGAAACACAAAGATATTCCGGGAGCAAAGAAGCAATAAGCAGCAAATACGCCGCTATAAGAGAACAAAGCAAATCATCATCCAAGCCAACCGAGAGTATTTCCTCTGCTAAAGTATCATTGCTCGATTCTAGCAACCCTCAGTCCAGTAACAACAGTCCTGCTGCGGGCCCCTCAGGTTTAGCTTCGAAATGGGCCGCTTCAATGAAACAAGGCTTCCAAAATTTCAAAGCGAACGTAGAAGCAAAGAAATTCTTACCTTTGCGTCAAGTTGAAGATACCAAGATGTTGTCTCGTGTGTCTTCTTCAGAATCACTAGACGAGATATTTCAGAGATTGAAAAGGCCTAGCGTTGAAGAACACGTTCCCTCTAGCGATGACGATGAAGATGGGCATGAAATCAAAGTTTCGAGCCGAAGCAGGTAACATTGGCAATATATTACTAAGAAGATTGATATGATATATATATGTACTCATCATTTATTCTATATATATAGATATACGAAATGAAAATGTAGACGACGATGAAATGTACAGATACCTTAAAGAGGGGTTTTTTTTGAAAACCCATTTTTGTTTGGAAAGTTATGTAAAGTCATCGATTTTCGGAGAATGAATGTTTAACCATCGATGAAGATGAATTCTTGAAGCAGTGTACTAAATCAAGAAAGAAAAAAACTATGTTCTCCCACTAATGGAATGAGTGTTGTATGGCTCAACAGTTTTCATCTTGTAATACAGATGCTCTTTTCTTTAAACTTTCAGGGGTATCACAGATTGGATAATGTAAAGCAGGTGTAAAATGTATCGATTTATTAAAATTGAAAATTGGTAATCGGTTTTCTGGGCATGAGATTCTTGATTTGTATGCGCTTTGTACTATGTGTTCTAATACTTCCGATATCCAACATATTATCTATATGCATTTTGATCTGAACATTCTAAATCTATATGTTGAATTTTGGGTCCAAACGAATTTATCAAGAATTCGGCGCATTAGACCATTTCTATCCGAGACGGCCCAATTGAAACAAATGGCCCACTTCCATACAAAGCCCGTCTATCTGGTAAACTCTCTCGAATTTTGATTTAGACCGTTCACCTTGATACTTTCATCTTGACCGTTTATCTGAGGTACTTAAACCTCTCCGGCTCACTTCTCAACCGTCTATTTGTCTTGAGTTCAAATTGGTGCTCAAGACTATACAATATATATATATATATATATATATATATATATATATATATATATATATATATATATATATATATATATATATGTATATTCAAAATTTACATAAGTAGCAAACTAGGAGGAAGATCGTCCACAAAGTATTTTAAAATCAGAAAGTAGTTTCTTCATTTTAATATATATAGTGGCACTGTCCTAGCAAAGGCTAAAATTGTTGTACATCAAAAAATGGTCCCAAGGAAAAAAAGAAAGTTTTATTTAGATGGATGCATCTGTAAAAAATCTCAAGTAGTTGAAACCAAATCAAAAAAGGTCAGATGTTGAACTTCCAATTGGACGATTCTCGAATTTTCTTTTTGTTTATTTATTTATAATATTGTGTTCATGTCTCAACTATTTATTGCTAAATAACTATTAATATGTAACTAATTGAGTTTTCCTATTCCTAAAATTTGTTTCTTCAATGAAAAACAGATAATTGGTACTTAGCTTCTACTATTAGTGTAGTGGTCTACCGTTCGAATCCTGACCCTCTTCATTACTTCTCCAGTTTGTAACAGGATTTGAATTCCTCGATAAAATAAAATAGATATTATGTTAATACTGACAATTATTAATTTTTGATTGTTTATTTTATTTGGTATTCTAGTTTTAAGAGCAATACTTCAATTGTCTTTAAAATATAGCTAGCAAACTGTATAAAATATGTAAATTACCACACGAGACATCAGTAAAAATTAAATAGTAAAAGAATATTTGTAATTTATAAATAGGTTTCGGCTCAAGCCATATTTAAATGTGGCTCAAGCCATAAGCTGAAAAAGAAAGAGAGAAGGAAAAAGAAAAAAAAAGAAAAAAAAAAAAGCAGAGCTGCAGGAATGAGGGATGGCCACAGCTAAGACTACATAGTATGTGGGACCCATTTATGCTAGGGGGTTGTTTGGCTCCGTGGCTCTTCCCATCCTTGACATTACTATTCTATTCTTCATTTAATATCATATTATCGTGTGCATCATATATATATATATATATATATATATATATATATATATATATATATATATATATATATATATATATATAATGGACAACTTGGCGGGTCCCGTGAACTAGAGAGTTGACTCAGAACACGAGAGGTCATCGCACATGAGCTCGACATTGAACGAGTCGAATGCATGATTGTTTAAATTTGAAAAGCAGTCGAATCGAACATGAGTTAGGGTTTCATGGCTTACCTAAGAAAGCTATGTATTCAAGCTTGATTTGTTATTTTAACATATAGACTCTAGCTTCATTATCAAAGTATGAATCTTTTATGTATAACTAGGTTAAAATTTGGATTATGTACGGTTAATTAGGAGAAATGTAACCGATGTAGTCATATATTGCGGGTGATTTTTAACCATTAATGTGGTTAAATAACCATCTACTAAACACACATACATATGATTGTGTGTGTAACTATGTGCAAATCCTGTTCAAAAAAAAAACACTATGTGCATATCTACGATTAATAATCGGTCAGTGTATTTCACCGGATGTAACATCAAATAAAACCAAAAACATAAAATAGTTTCCATTAAATGGGTAAAAATATAATAATAATCCAATTAACCATTCCTATCAACGGGCCCTTGTTGCGACTTTTTGGGAAGAAGTGGGCCCACTAAAACAACTTTTTCCTATATTTGTAATGGGCTGGGCCCATTTACGGAATCTTAAGACCCCACACTGTTCCAAATTGTCTTCTTCTTTTGCGTTTTTTATAAATATCTATTCTTAAAACAAAAATAGAAATAAAAATAAAAAAAACCGAATGGAAAATTGAATTTGGGATCCTGAATTGATTATAATGCAATTCGATTTATCATAAATTGGTTTAAACTTTTAAATCTAATAAGTAACTTAGATATAATCTGTGAAATATATCTATCTATCTATCTATCTATATATGTGTGTGTATATATATATATACACACACTTAATTATCAAATCTATTTGCTTAATTTATTGCATTTACGCATTTATTAAGCATTGATCTTAATTATAATATCATCCGAGTTCATCAACAAAACAGATAGTATATATAGTAGAATATCACGTACCTGTTATACAGTACCAAAAGTAACAGTATACTACAATTGTTAGTAGAGTAATAGTATAAACTCTCCAAAACCGCATGATACGTACGGTAGGTAAACAGTATGAGCAAAAGGTTCGATTTATATATATATATATATATATATATATATATATATATATATATATATATATATATATATATATATATATATATATATATATATATATATATATATATATATATATATATATATATATATATATATATATATATATATAAAAATTAAGATGGAATGAGTTCACATGGTGTGTCTGTTAGTGTAAAATGTTGGAATAAACATAGGATCAGCTGCTAATGCTACAGTCAGATGTGCTGCTTGTCCTAGAATATATGTAGGGAGTATTATTATATAAACAATTATCTTATTGTTAAATATCTAATTCAAAACTCATTTTAATTTGTTTTTGAAGTATTGCAAGGGTAAATTAGGAATAAGAAATATAGGGATGTGGAGATATTATGTTTTGAAATAGGGGTGTTTTTAGAAAAAAATATTTTGATGTTGTCATTTATTTCTAAGGGCAAATTACTGCCACTCCTAAGGTAAGGCATAATTACGAAAAAAATCCTCTTGTTTGCATAATTACAACTACTCTTTCCACTGTGTATTGTCTTACACGTCCATCCTCATGATGTTAAATTTACCTAGGGGTGTTCATTCGGTCGGTTAACCGATTAAATAGAGTCGAACGAAAATTCGTACATGCCGATTAACGAATCGTTAATTCGTTTGTGGTATTCAGTTTTATTTTATTTTTTATATATACCTATATATGTAATATTAGTGTTTAAACTAAAATTAATTATAAAAAAAATCAAAAAAAAAAATATATTTTTAATGGAATTTTGGTTTGGTTATTTATCGAACCAAGAGTTAAACAGTTTGAAATTTTGACGTACCGCATACAATTTTACCGAATGAACGCCCCTAAATTTATCATTTGGAGGGATTTTTTCCGTAAGATAATAACACATAGTTGAGGGTGTGCTTGTAATTATACAAACATGAAAGGTATTTTTCGTAATTTGATATTCCATCAGGGATTGTGGTAATTTGCCCTAATTCAAATTATTCTTGGTTTGAGGGGCTCGAACATAATAACCCCTTACTTTTAAACAAGCTATAATTAATCAGTAGACCATATCTAATTTGTATATATATATATATTAACAAACAGCAGCATCATATCCTTGATTTTTTTAATAAAGAAAATCTTCCACTAAAACACCTATAACATCATACTCTTGTCTTAATTTATCTATTAATCAATACTAATACTCATTTCTTAATTAATCATTAACTAACTAGGCCACCTTAATTCTTCTTTATTACCCATAAATAAAACTAAATAATTGTCGCAATCAGGTACACTATTGTAAACGTAGAAAAATGAAAATCATGAATTGTAGCATTAACTATTTATTATATTATATTATATTATATTATATTATATTATATTATATTATATTATATATATATTTAACCATATATATTATCATAAATTTATAGAAAAAAATGGTATTGCCAATAGCATACGTATTATTTATTTTATTTTATTTATTGATTAGTGATGTGACTAGGGTGATGACGATTTTCTAAAGAAAAATAAGGTCCCACTTGGTGCAGGGGACCATACTTTCACCTCAGCAAACGTATAGGAGCTTATAATATTAAATTATTATAATATCTCAATCATTTGAATAATAAATTATACATTAAACCCAAACAATAAATAATATTATTACAAAAATTAGGGACTAACTAGTAAATAGAAACCTATACATAATTGCCTAAACTTAATATAATTATACTGCCATGAATATAATAACGGTAAATTCCACTTTACCGCTCTGTAGTTTGACTCGATATCACTTTACTTCCTTCTACTCTGGATTGCACTGATTGCCCCCCTGCACTTAAAAAATAGTCTCAATGCGGCCCTCGCTGTTAATTGTCACACATTTGACATTATCACCGTTTGCTCTAAGCTCTGCAACTACAAATACGCCGCCCCTCTCAATTA